TGAAAACCTCCAGGGATGGTGAATCCACCACCTCCCTGGGCAGCACATTCCAATGCCTGATTCGTCTCTCTGTCAAAAAATCTCTTCCTAATCTCCAACCTAACCCTCCCCTGGCAGAGCTTGAGTCTGTGCCCCCTTGTCCTACTGCTGGTTGCCTGGGAGGAGAGACCAACCCCCACCTGACTACAACCTCCTGTCAGGGAGTTGTAGAGGGTGATAAGGTCTCCCCTGAGCCTCTTCTTCTCCAGGCTAAACAACCCCAACTCCCTCAGCCTCTCCTCATGGCACTTGTGCTCAAGTCCCTTCACCAGCCTCGTGGCTCTTCTCTGGACACGCTCCAGCACCTCAATATCCCTCCTGAACTGAGGGGCCCAGAACTGCACACAGTATTCAAGGTTTGGCCTCACCAGTGCCGAGTCCAGGGGCAGAATCACCTCCCTGGTCCTGCTGACCACACTGTTCCTGATCCAGGCCAGGATGCCATTGGCCTTCTTGGCCACCTGAGCACCCTGCTGGCTCATGTTCAGCTTTCTATCTACCCAAACTCCCAGGTCCCTTTCTGCCTGGCTGCTCTCCAGCCACCCTTTCCCCAGCTTGTAGCGCTGCATGGGATTGTTATGGCTTTATATTCAATGGTTGTGCAGCACAGAACTCACCATCTCCTTTAAATGACTGAAAGAAGATCCCCTAGGAGACTTGAGCGGGGTGTCCTCTTAATGTTACTATTTTAAACTATGGTGGTGAGAAAGGCTTTATTTGTTTACTATCTGTTTTTAGGTAGAGCAGAACATGAAATCCAGGTTCTAAGAAACAGTGTTCAAGTGGTTTGAACTGGAATTCCATAACCTTTTTCCTTCTTTTGTACTGAACTTTCATTGCAAGAGGTATCATCCAAGTAGGAGAAATAACCTCTAAAATCTGTGGTTTGTAATTAGAAAACTATTGCTATACTAAGCAAAAAAGCCCAACCAGAAAAACCCACATTGTGCCTCTAGAAGCTTAGTACACCTTACCTATAAACCTCCCAGACAATGTCACTCTACAAAAGACTGGGAGAGGAGGAAAAAGTATCAAGTATTAATTCATACAAACAACTTGGTCATGCAGACAATTCCCCTCTAGACATACCAGAGAGCTAACCAAATCCATGGATTTCAAAGTTGTTTTAGAGTTATCTAAAGACCTTGCAGAGCATGATAGCAATTTCTTTGAAGTTTACTGTATCCAGATTACTAGTTTATCATCAAAGAAACAAGAACATGATTTTTTTTAGAGCAGCCAAATATCTCATTGTTAACATACTTTTAAATTAATCCTTGTATTAGAAACCTTGATCTTCATAGGCATCACTTCTGCAACAGTTTCATCTTCTAGAAAATGCTGAATGTTTGTCAGGGAGGATGTTAGAAATTCAGCACTGAAGTTCTCCACATGACACTGAAGAAAACCATTCTTCACAGCTAGCAGCGAATGTACGACAGCACTGGGCCCACTTTCCCATCTCAGACTAATCTCAGGTGATGAATTAACATGTCCAGCCACAGATTTACCGTCAGAACCTATTGAAAAAGGAAAACAAATTTGTGTTAAAATGTTGCAATGTACAAAAAAAGCAATTATGATGTAATTATTTCTGTCTCTAATGTCCAACAAAAAGTACTTTACAGGTATTATCTATGAAAGACAGCGTTGGAAATACAGAACTTCAGAGCAAATTTCTAAGTATATCACTACAAAGTACAAAAGATAAATCAAGAGCACATAAAAGGCCTAGTACTTCACTGCAACAACAGAAAGGACAATGCAGAAATTACCATCCACACAAAAATTTATGTTTCCTCAATACCTTGTCAACAGAAAAACAATTATTTTGCTTATTTTTCTACTAACTCCTTAAATTTTAATTCAGAAAAACATTTAAGTCAGTTCACTCTCTCAGGACCAGGTTTCTTTTAAAGGCAGAACTTCCTGACTCAAGAACGTACTTGATAACACACAGAAACATAAATAGCAATGCAATAAGATGGAGAACATGACCACAGAGTGCTTCCACTATTTGAGTGGCAATAGACTTGAACCTTAAAATAAACCTGTTTCTTGTTAATGTCATTATCTTTAATCAGTAAGGACAACTGCAACATTCAACTAAAAAGTTCTAAAAACCATAAAATGAAAGAATAAAATAAATACAATATTTAAGGCAACAAGGTGCGGGGGGGAAGTATCCATTTCTTGTACAAAAGAGAGGGGTCACCACCAGAAACCTCATAGGATTCTCAAGTCATCTCATCTCTATGATGGCTGACCTACAGAAATCATCTGTATGACGAGAAGCACAATCACAGTAACTAAAGAAAAAGCCAGCACTGAAACTTGCAAGACAGCTCAAGAAAGGAACTCAAGTAAAATCAACTGAATTATGTCAATTCAGCATGCAACAGACACTGCCTGGAGCTACAGCAGCCTGAGAGAGTACTTAATTTGTTATCTGTAGATTTACTGGGTTCCTCTTTCTGTATAGTGCTCAGTTCCCATGGATGACCTGGCACAGCAGCAGAGTCAGGGCATATGCACTTGTCTACTGGCACTAGAGTCAGGGTAGAAGGACACATTGCTCACCTGGGCTGACAAAAACCAGTAGGAAGAACTGTAAATGAACATGCGAATCTTCAGCCTCCGTTGTGAACCAGAATTTCATCCTTTGTCACCTCTATAAATAGAGGTTTCCACAACACCATCAGCTGCCACTCCATCCCTCAATCTTTCCAATGTTAAAGAAGTGCTAAATCTCGCATTCCAGGCCCATGCTCCCCAAAACAAGCCAAGAAAACAGCCCATACTGCAAGTATCAAGTACCTTTTGTGGCTCTAGTCCAGACAGAAGCGAATAAGCTACCGACAGTCCTTGAGAAGAAGGGCAACTCTCCAGATGGGAGAACAATGACCACTCTGTTCAATGAATCTCTGCAATTGGTTTGGGAAACTTTGTTTCCCTCAAAGATCTATATTCTTCCCACAAATACAGATAAAGAAGTAAGCAGCATATGCCCTAAGTATTTCTGCATCAGAAAAGAGTCCCTGCATCGTTGCTGGAAGAATCCACCAAAGAGTAGAAAAACAGCTGAAGAAAAGACCACACGTTCAGTCTCAGCCATGAAGTCAATCTTAGTTATCTTCAGATATCTGAAAGGGGCACAGTCAAGGGAAGATGAAGTAAAAATTGCATTAAACAATCTGGAAGCTGCTATAAAGTGCTGTTCCCTTCTCACAAGCATGTCAAGCATGATAAGGTCTCATTAAAAGCACCGTCCTTCCCACACTACCTCTGCCATACTCCATCCCCTCTTCCTTTGTTACTGTTGCCAGACAAGATCTAACAGAGCCACAGTTCTGCAGCTCTGCATCCAGTCCTGCAGGGAATTACACAGCTGCATTTTTTTAAGTCTGCCCTCAAACTTATTTCAGCTATTAGGCAGTTTTCCCTTTCTACATCTACTGCAATAACAGTACAGTAGCTTTTAAGTGGTTATTTTTACCCAGAACACCTTCAGAGATTGTAATTGTAACTTGAGCATTCACTGCTTTGCATGGTTCCTCAGTTTACTGGTTACAATTATTAATGCAACACTTGAGAAAGTTTTATTAAAGGTGTTGGGGGGGCTGCTTTTATTGGGATATTGTTGTATACATTTGCTCACTTGTTCTTTTAGTTGTATTTTGTTAGTGTTAACTAATTTTAACAGTTTCTTTTGATCTAATTCTCAAGCTTTTCCCCAACTTTTTCTCCCTTTGTTCTTCTAATAGAATAAATGTGGGAGATGGAGAGCAGCATTAGCTGCAGAGGACTCCTGATTCGGTACAGAAAACACATCCCTATGGTGGAGAGAAGAAAGATCAGCAGAAAGAAGATGTACATTACAGAATGGGAGTGACCAGCAATGCACAAAAAAAAGGGTTGTTGGTCCATCCATACAGGCACCCACCAGAACGAGAATGGTATAATAAGAATTGGAAGTAAGATAAGAAGTGGAAGTATTTGGAGATCCCAATCACGTTGTAACTTCTGTTCACAAAATAACCAGCTGAACCAGAGGAAGCAGGTTCTGGTTCAAGATACACAGGAGAGCAGGAAGGTGGCATGTTCATCCTATTTACTCCCTCTTGTTTTTACAGAGGATGACAGATCATCAGAAAACAATTTGCCTGCTGTATGAACTGAAGGTCAGCCATGAGTCTTCCCTGCTGGACCTCCCCCTTGCCTTCAGGTGCCTGAATACAACATCATGCACCAGCTGCTCAAGCAGCAGCTGCTGGCAGCTGCTCAGCTTACCAGCAAATGGGTTCTTTAGTCAGGGCATCAGAAGCTGTACCACCTCTGAACCTGAAGCACAACCTCCTGAAGAAAATCCATGCTGATAGAAGGCTGGAATAAAAAATGGCAGCCAACAGCTCCTACAGCTATTTCCCGGGAAAGGAGATGAACCAGAAGCAGGAAGCAGGTACTTCAGGGATCTGCCCCAAAAACCCTACAGCACAACAGAGCTGGCACCCAGCAATCCTTGTGGAAGGCTGGCAGAGAGGAGCAAACCAAACTGTGACATGAAGTGGCATGCCAATACATCATGCCAAGGCAAAAACCTCACAGTATGAGAACTCAGTTTTCTGGCAAAGAATGTATATGTTGTACTCATGCCCAAGAACAGCTCTGACAATACAAGTTGGGCAAATGTCTGGCATGAAACTACACTCTGTGTTTCTCTCAAGCTTGGAAAAAAACCCCACCCCAAAAACCAGTTGTCTGTCCTTACAGCTCATCTTTCCTAACAGAGAAAAATTTTTTACGTTTTCTCAAATCACATAAATGAATATGAAATGTATACAAAATTTTATCTAGAGAAATAGATCTTGGAAAAAAATCCAGCTCTTCAAACCGAGGTACATTTAAGCAAAGTATTGTTAGAGCTATAAGGGAGTTTCATTTTCATAAAACAGTAACACAATGTAATGCAACTTATTTGATTTTAAAAAAAGCAAACCAATGACCAGAATTCAATGCAATGCATTTTTTTTACTCATGCTATCATAAATGGTCACGTTTATTTATTTCCTTCCCTTTTAATATATGACAATGAAGAAAGAAATCAGAGTAGATATTCTAAACCAGCATAAAAAAAGATGCTATTGTATTAACATAAAACTGTGTTTGTGGTTTAAGACTAACACAGAGTTTTTGTATAATTGGAACAAATGTTTCCAGCTCCAATTTCATAACACTGAATTGTTCATTCTTACCAACAGTTCTGTTGCACAGATAGTGTCGAACACCAATATTTCCCAATTGATTTGGTATCACTTGGTTGACCTGTAGGCATATTTCCATGTCTTCACCCCTGATGTCAATTTCACCATTAACACCAAATATTTGGAAAACCACAACAGACATCTGTCAACAAAACCAAGATGAAACAATAAAAGATTATAAAATGAATTTACAATGGCCATTGCTTTTTAAGGTCTGCCTAAATCTTTTCCAGCATAAAAAGGAAAAAAACCTGCTTTGGATCCATAACCCTTGCTCACAGAAAAGCACAAAGTTTTTTCATTTCTTCTTCTTTTCTTTTTATACACACAGGCTTGACAATGGGTTACTCAGCTGTCTGTCCAAAGACAGACACTTGTATTTAGAACCTACTGATACCAATTCAGAACCGGCTAGAAAAAGCCACAGAAGTGAGACAGACTTTCCCCCCTGACAGAGGGACACATGACCTATGTGACTGAAATTTCCTAAGGCTGCATTCAACTTTATGCATAGCATAAGCACAACCAAGCATCTGCAGAGCTGAATCAGACCAGGTTTAAGAGCCAGGACAGGCTAACAAAACTTTGGCTATCTGCACAGTAGTCAGCCTTTTTTTCTATTTATTGGGTTGCAGTACTTTTTTAAAAAAAACAGAAGCCAGTTTCAAGTCAGCTTTGGTATCCAATGTGTGTCCATCATCATTACTACTATTATGGGCTCATTTTCCTAGTGACTTTTATAGTTGTATTCCACAAGTAGAAAAATATGCTAACATGCATTTGCATAACAATCTGAATGAATTCTGTTTTTTCCCTATTAGCTATATATGCACAGATGACTGAAAGTTTATTTCAAAGGAATTAATAATTTAATGAGCTGCTTCCTTACAATTTTAAAAAAATTAGGGGGATCCACAAATATTTTAAAGCAAAGCTGGGACTACATGACTAACATTACTAAGAAGGAAAATACACCAGTGAGCACACAAGATGTTTCAGTAAATTCACTGTCTCTCTTTCGGTCCATATTCTCTTTGGTTTTCAGTTCATGACCACAACTGAAAGAGGAATACAGTTTGAGAAGCATTGACCGGGGTCAGGATCAGCATGGAATAAGTAGATAGGCAGATGAAAAATGTTGGACCCTGCATGGTGTCTCAGGCAGGGAATCTCTTGCTACATGTGCTAGTCTTATAATCTTCCCAGATACAGGACATTGTCCTGACCTAATCCTGGACAAGAGGCATCTCTGACCTGACCCAGTAGGGTCATTGTTACATTCCTATTTGCAGAATGCTACCAATGCATAGGAAAAATCACGGAATCATAGAATCAACCAGGTTGGAAACGACCTCCAAGATCATCAAGTCCAACCCTACCATCATATAAGAGATGTCAGAGTTACAGTGCTTTCTCTTATCTGTACGCGACAATTGAGGACTACAGGGAACAGTTATAAAATGACACAGGGGAGATTCAGATATTAGGAAAAAATCTTTCACTGATAGGGTGGTCAGGCACTGGAACAGGTTGCCCAGGGAGGTGGTGGAGTTGCCACCGCTGGAAGTGGTGATCTGGTGCTGGAGGATACGGATTAGGGGTTACAGCAGTGACAGGCTAATGGTTGGACTTGATGATCTTAGAGGTCTCTTCCAACCTTGGTGATTCTATGACTCTATTCTATGATAAAAAGCTCATTTTAAATATCAGATTCAACAAAACACAAAAGAATGTGATGATATTATAAAATTGTTGCTATGTACTAAAGCAGAAATACTGACATTTTTAAGTGGCTGCTGTCATTTATCAACTGGCTATGGAGGAGATAACACAGAGAATGCTCACTGTAACTTGGATTATAATCTTAATTTGTACTTAATACAAACTCCCCAAGCTAGTTGAAAAATCACCTCTAAAAGCAATCATTTTAGTTGTAAGGCTTAATTGACTGAAGCATGTACTCTAATGGAATACAACAACATTACCATGTCTTCACTAGTCTCATGGGCATTCTCTGAAGCAGCACTCATGGCATCTGGAGATGACCCATCACAATTTTCAATCACTGTGCCTCCTTCATGGGCATTTTCTGATGGGCTTTGATAGTTTGTGGCCGTAATACCTTCCGTATACACATCAGAAAAAAATGTAAAGTTAGCATAGCATAACCTGAATCACTCCTACATCAGGAATAAAGTCAGTGTCTGGTACTGTATGCACATATTAACTCATTTTTAAGATGAGTTGAAAGGCTTATTAGAAAAATATTTAGGATTGAACTGCTAAATCCATTCCTTTTATGGAGAGTTCAAAGTTCTAAATGCATTGCAAGTAAGCCAGGATATAGTGACAAAACCAAACCAGCACTGTACGTACATTGTTAAAAGAACTGTGAAGGGCATTTTTTGTCTTCCGAATCAAATAGAGACCTAATCCAGCAGAAAAAAAGGTCAAAGATTTCAAGTCATGTATCTGAAATGCTGCACAGTGCCTCTAGAGCAAATGTTTGTGGTTTTATGTTTAGAGAAATAAGCTATATATATTTTCATTAGAGCCATCATGATAATGTTTCCTTGACAACTAGAAAGCATGCAGACTTAATCTGCAGTTAAATATTGTTTAACAAGCTAAAAAGACATATAAAGGTTATTTAAAATGGAAAATGTATTTTATGGCATACTCCCACATAAGCACATGCAGGAATACTCCTACAATTTGAGTATATAACATGTTTGCAAGTGAAACAGTCTTGTTATTGCTCTAGACTGAAAAGAAAAAAAACCCTGTCATTCTTTATTCAAAGTAGAGTTTATCAGAAAAGAGGTACCAAAAAAGTCTTCTTAGTTTATTTCCTGACATTAGAAAATTATTTAATCAGTATTGCCAGAGAGCTGCTAGATCATTACAATTGCATAAATCCACAGTACTACAGACTATATAGACACAACTGCCACATGCCCAAGTTCCTCCCTAGGACCATGATCAAATGCTCATGCACAGATGAGCAAAAACTGGACAAATACCCTGGTGTTAGAGAGTGAATAGCTAGGAACTGCTCCTTAGGGAACAAGCTGCAAGGAGACTACCAGACCTATCTGCCTGGTAATTAGCATGGTGAAGTGACAATCCATTTCTTTTTCATCTACTTCTAAAATGAAAGCTTCTTTACCACTTCAAGCATAACACTGACTCAGGGTACAACCTGTAAATACTTGCAGCCAAAGCAACACCATTTCCACAAAGCAGGGAACAGTTCTGCTTAATTCAGAGTTATGACACAGCACTTCAGTGCTCTTCACTCCCCAGGAGAGGAAATTAAGTAGTGTCAAAATGAAGCAGCTATGTGGGGTTTGGTTGCTGTCTGAGGTTAAACCAGGGCAACTGCTTAAGTAGCACACCTTATTGCTTACCTTAGAAATGAGGTGCTGAGAATGGTATTACTGACTGGCACAGGCAAGGGAAATAGTGTGGTAAAGTAACCACGATTTGCTGGACTAGAATCCTTTGAAGTATTGTTTTAGTAACAAACATTTCATGTATTGCTTGAAAATATTTTATTAAACCTACTCACCTTTTTCCAGAAAGCTTTGACTGTCACTTCCATCACTCTCTATCAAATGATCCTCTAGCATCATACTATCAATAGAGATGGTATCCAGAGAGACTTGTGATGGACTTCTCTTCATATTCTTGTAAGAAACAGAGAATGCAGGGAGGTTGGACGAGCAGCGTTCCTTAGGCTTTGCGCTTTTTAAAGATAAAGACATTAGGAAATTATTATTTCAAATTAAAGGAAATACCTAAAAGTTACTTAACAAAATTCCTCTAAACCAGGCAAGATATTAAAGAAAAAATCTGATTATTCAGTAATTCTTTGACAAGAGAAAGAGACAAACATAGAAACAACATGCACTACTCTAGGTATTTGTGCAAATATTTTTCTCAATACACATTTTGTAACATTTTAACTGGAAGTAAATAGTTTAAATCAATTAACTAACATTTCATTTTGCCTTGCATTGAATGATGGACATGGAATATCTTTTTCTATACTTTAAAAATTTCCATCTACTAGAAGTTCACTTCCTAACTGCTAAAAGCACCAGAAGTATGTGGCCAACAAGATTAATAAATATTTTCAAAGAGTAGGAAGATTGATTTAGTATTAAATTTTCTATACCTTGATGAAGACTGGGATGCAAACATTTTAACTGAAGTCACTTTGTCTTTGTTGATTTCAAGCTCTTCAGATTCTAAGGCAGTTTCGGTTTCCAAGTCAGAGACTTGGTTAGGACAGCCTTCAGTTGTGCCTTCCTGTTCATTTAACTTATTTGAGAAAACGCTTTTGTCATCCTCTTTATCAATGAAAAATTCAGTAGAATCTTCTCTCTTACTTAGAATGGATGCTGAATCCCTAGGATTCAAGCTACTTTTCTCACTTAGAGGTCCACAGACCTCCTCTGAATCACTTCTACTAAAAAGTCCACTGCTTCCTCCTTCACTTGTATCTCCCAAACCTTTATCTGATGCATCATCTGAAAATGACATTCCTTTCTGCAAATCCATATTACTGTCTGACTTAAACAAAAGAGGATCTATTAAAATCCCTTTATTAACTTCAGCATTCAGAGGCTTGCAGTCATTTACATAATCAAAATTAGTAATAGCTGCTTCCACTATCTTACTACCAACCAATTTACTCTCTGAAGGAAGAGCTTCCCCGTTTCCCACTGGGGAGAGTTCTGATGCCATGGGACTTCCTTCTTCCACAACAGGAGACTTACAAGGGTTTCCCTGAGTCACTGGATGGAGTAGTAAGGCTAGTTCTGCACTTTTCAGTAGGATCCCAATGCAGACTTCTGTTTGCTTTGCAGGTTTTCCTGTCACTGCTTCTACATCATTCCTTAAGTTCTCCAGGAGCAATACCAGAGATTCATGGAGAAACAGCAAAAAAAGATACTGGTAGTGATTGATCTGTGCGCTTACATGTTTTTGAACATGGACAAGTACATGTACATCTGCATCAGAGGAAGAGCTCTCAGAAAGCACTCCTGAAGTCTCTGACATTTGCATGCCATTGCTCAAGGGCTCCGTCTCAGTGCTGTAATATTCCTTTAGGAGCTTTTTACGTTGCAATCTGTTAGCAAGATCACTAGATTCACTTTTTGGAATGTTCAAAGGTGTCTGATTATGGGTTAAAAGCTCTTTTTGTGACTTTGCAAATCTTACTGGCTGGCAAATCCAAAGTGAAAGTGGGAATGAGTCCACAAAGCTTATTGGTCGGCCTTTCCCACTTTTTGTTCCTTCATAATCTATCCAAAACTGGGAAAAATGCAAGGCCCAAACATCAGTAGCTGCAGATGTCTTTAATGCATATTTATTCAACTTGGGGATGATATAACCTTTATAAACATCATGCATTTTGGTATCTTGCTCATGAGCATGTCTCTGGAAGATTGGATGCAAAAGATTAAAATTTTTCTGGGACTTTGGGAAATTGGTGAAAGTTCTACTGAAAAATTCAGAATCTTTGAAGTTCTGAAACAAAGCTTCCAGATCAGAGTGTCTGCAGTTTGGTGAGCATCTGGTATTTGTAGCAATCATCTCTGAACTTTGAATGGAGAGTGCACGAGGCTGATCTTTATGAATTTCAGGTTTGTTTTCAGATGGGATGATGATCTGCAAGAGAGAAATATATTTTGCCTAGTTAAAAATATGTAGATTAAGAAGGTATACAATTAAAGAAACAAAATAATAGCCATGACAGCTAAAATCAAGAATACTAACACAGAACAGGGATAAGTCAGGCTCACAGACTATGATTTATGTTTCCTTCCATTTTTAAGGATGCTGTGGCATCTGAAACTCAGTGTTTATACAGAAACTTAAGGGCTCAAGTTTTTCTTATCTGAAGGACTTAAATTTAGGTCAGATACATTAGGCTGAAGTGTCTCATTTGTTCAATTCATAAACAGCTTAGTAGAAAGTTTCAAGTGTTCCAAAAATTTACAACTTTGAAAAGCAGAGAATTATAATTTGGAATTCAATCTGATTTGTCAAATACAAATTTGTTTTTCATTATACTGAGTACTACAGTATTTCATTTCTATGTTAAGATACAAGCAAACAACTAGATATGCTATCACAGCTAATATTCCTAACACTGTAGAATACAGAATAGGTAATTTTGACAATTATCTGATAACAATAATACACTTTTTCATCATAAAAATAATTATATACTTCAACTCCTAAAAAAGCCAACAAATACTTCAGTATACTGTATTTAATTTAACTTGCTTATTTTTATTGCAAGTTTTAAAGGCAACATATTTTATGCTAAGTCCTGTATCTGATGTTGTCAAGATGAACTTTGGCCACATTAGTTTTGCTAGTATCAGTGACACTACCTTTCGTCAAAACATGCCCATGCTGAATCTACAAAGTAAGAGTAAGAAAGTCATCCTAAAGACACTTAAAAATGGGAGCAATGAAGCTTTTTCATGTAAATAAAAGGACTCAGAACAAAATAACAGAAAAAACCAACTACATGATATGTAAATATCGAGCACACTAATAAAATATTCATTATTTACTAGATTAAAAATATTGCCATTAATATAGAGATGACAGAATGAATATGAATCAAAATTTGAGGGATTTAAGAATACCTTTCTCTTAGTTTTGCAGGTTATTCACATATAACAATTCAATATTAGATCAGCCTGTATTTGCGGTTGTCCAGCTGTTAGCTCTTAACTGTTTTCGTTCAGTACAAACCATGTCCTTTTATTGTTCCATTAAGAATGCTCCAAGAGCCTTGGGAAGACAAACATCTCTCCATACACTGACTTTTTAGAACCTTTGAAACCTCTCCTGTGAGCACCATTGAAAAGACTATTTTTGTTTATCTCCAAACCTTGGAAACTATGCAATGAAACGCCAAATGCAAACGGGGGATGGGGAAGGGTGGGAAATTTATCTGCTTGATAACACTTTTTCTCCAAAGAAGATGACAAGGGAAGGAGGAATTTGATGTTCAACTGCATTAACAGGCACCACTTCTCTGCAATAAGCATGCAGAGAACTTGTGCACTTGAACTACACACAACAGCCAGCATGAAGCAGAAAACAGTGAGAATGGGTTTTGGAGAAGGAAATAAACCTTCAGATGAGCTGCTTTCTTTACTCCAGGCATTCACTAGCAAGATGAAAGAGTTTTCATAAACTACAACCAGAGGAACAAGTGAGGGGCCCTGCATTAATACAGGGTACAAATACAAATTTTCACTGGTTACTTTTACTTTTGCGCTCAGATTTTTTTATTTCATGCCCTGTCAGGTTCACTGAACACAGGGAAATAATTTTTTATATACTGCCATTCAGGTCTTCAATACAAAGCTGAAATACCCCTAGGACATAGATGAAGCCATACAGAAGACAAATGTCCGTCTTCAAACCATCATATCCTGCATAGTTTTTGAGAGCAGCATAGCTTATTGCATGAGTTGTTTGATCAGCTATTTGTGTATTTATTCCTTACGTTCCTTTGCTAACAGCTTTTCAGAACAAGAAGAAAGTATTCTTCCAAGGAACCACAAAACCCCTCATCAGTGACAGCATACCTTTAACATTAGTCCATCCACTCTAACATCAACATGTTCATCAGACTTCGAATTGTCATTTAACTTGTACATGGCCATGAACTGAGTAAGACTCTGTTTCAAATCCAACACAAACTGATTTAGCCAAAGAATACTTCTCTCATCCAGGGTGAACTGTAAAGCATTCAGCTGGCCATACAAATTTGGACATGGAACTAAAAGAGAAAAGAAAACAAAATCAAGAGAATAAGTAAAATGTTTAGGGGTTGGGTTTTGTTTGTTTGTTTTTCAAATGAGTGAAGACTTAGATTTTCACCAGTATTTTTCATCAAAGAATGGAAACCCACTCCTTTAGTCTCCAGGAAGAATAAATTGTTAGGGAATGCCTGAAATGATGCTTCTTTCTCCCACTCCAAGCAAGTAACTGAATTTTTGAATATAAAAACTAATGTTAGACTGGAATGAAGTCTGAGGAGAGGGGGAGAATGTCCTCATTACAAAGGAAGGGCAGGACCATGGAGATTTACTGTCCTCAAGTCCCATCCCCAAGAAATGCACTGACATTTCTGTATATAAAACAGGGACAGCCCCAGAACACATTCCTACAAATAACTCCAGCAGATCTTTGTTGCATCTTAGGTACTATTGCAATAGTTTGAGTTCTTTTATGTAGCCAGACAGTAAAACTGCAGAAAAAACACATGAGTGCTGGAGAATGAATAATTCATGTATCAGTAAAAATGCAGTGGGTGTTTTCACAGTTAAGAGCCATGATTAGAAAAAACAGTATTGATAGCAGTTTGCCAGGAGCAAGCACTGTGGAAATGGAGCAGTGTTGTGTTCTTTCCATTTTAGAAAGCCATTAATTATTTCCAAGTTTTAAGCTTCACAAAGGTGAAAGTAACACAAAGTTTATTAGGAAAAAAAAAAAAAAAAAAGAAAACTAAAAGAAGTCTTACTAGGAAAGTCCTTTCCATCAGGGTAGTAATACTCAGTGAATTCAATATGAATAGCAGGCATTTCTGGTGGAAGATAAAGTGACTTTTTATTGCAAGAGATCAGAGCTTTAGGGGAAGAACGACACTGGTCTGCTGTTGAAACCTGCAGAAGAAAAAAGATTCATTTCATTAATACATCACACTTTTATGAATGATTCAGCATTTGTAGTTGCAAAGTACTGTCCCTAGCAGGGTAACATTCCACAGCTCTCGGGTGTAGATCCCCAACTATGACACAGTGCTGACATTCACAAACACCTAACTGCCTTGTTACAGCAGTGATCTGCACAGAACAGCTGCACAAGACAACTAGACAGTTTTAAAGGCACCAGAGCCCCTTGCTCCATACATGGCAGGAGGCAGCAGCTGCTTTCAAGGGTATTCAGTAGCAGCCTAGAGTGATCTGATATCTTTACTGCAAACACTAAAGCTCCCATTTAAGCAATTATGCTAGGACATAGTGTATTTGCATATGAAAAAGGATTATCTAGATGATAATGGAGTGATAAGCTAGGTAAGTTTATTACACAAGTGTTAGGATGTCCTTGTAATGTCATAAGAACAGGTTCCACTACACAGGCCAACTGCACTGTAAGCTAAGGAAGGTGTTCAGCATGCACCTGGCAGAGATATGTATGCTTGGATATGCCTGAAGGTCTACTTCACAGGAGAATCAAGACAATATGGAACAGTAATTCTCCATTTCTGTTTCCTTACAATGTAAATTATGAAACAAGAAAGAAACCACCTTTTGATACACATTTGACCTTAAATTTCTTTGAATGTATCCTAGTTGAAAAGTATCTTGGCAAAACAAAGCTCTATCATCCAATAGTTACTAGGTCAAACTCCCAGTTTGAAATAAACCACCATGTTAATAATGAATATACAATGATGTCTACCTGAATGAGTTTCACTGGAAACAGTGAATGTACCTTTATAAGCCTGCTTCACTCTACATAGCTGTTTTCCAACTGCAAACATCCCTTTACTAACACACACAAAAATTCAAGTATAATGATCTATTTAGAAAAAATAGCTTTGGGGAAACTGCAGAGAAATAATGACCATTAAAAAAGCTGAAAATGTGTTTCATTGTCAATTGAGGAAGAAAGAAGCATCTGAAGAGCAGAAGGCAAATGGAAACACCAATGGTACAAAACCATATTAGAAAACCACTTCAAACTCAGATAAACAATTCTAGCAGCAAGCTGCAACCTCCCACAATACCAGAATCCATGTGGAAAAAAGTGCAGGAAATTTTAACAAGAGCAAGTAGAAGTCACTTGCAAGTGAACAAGAGCAAGCAAAAGGCACAAAAGGGCACAACTAAGCATTTTTGTTAGGACCTGAAATTTAGAGAAGATCCTCCCATACCATTCTGCCTAAGAGATATACTTTTTCCACTTGCCTCCAAAGAGTGAATCTGGACTACAATCAGCAACTACAACTACTCACTCTAACAAAGGGAGGGAGATGGAAATGGTTAAAGTGCCTACTCAAAATAGCACTGGGAGAGGGACAGGCTGGAGAAAAATAATAAAAAAAATATTAAAAACCTTCTTCATTTAACATTTTTAATGTACTTTGACAAAGATAACAATAAGAAAAGCATGGTATACAAAACCACACATTAAAATATTGGTTACCTAACACAATACAATAAAAAAAAAATAAATTTTCAATCCCAATTCATACATTGGGGAACAGTAGAACTCACTGATAGGGTGACAATATAAAGTCAATGAGAAAATATCCACCAATTTTAGCAAAGCAGAAGCAGGCCCATAAAGATCTGATCCATTAATGAATGGAAAAACTCATTAACTTCAGTGGGCTTCATAAATGTCCCTTAAAAACCACAGTTATACAACAGTCAAGGGAGAAGTAGCCCCAGTTTTACTAACTTGAAGAAATGTACCTGATATATATTGAAATCTGCAAGTCTAACCACAATAGGACTAGACATCAGTTTGCCCTTTGGTTGTTGAGAAGATACAGAGCAAGCCCTAGATGTTCCTTTCGGTATCTGTTCCTTGCCTGTAGGGAAGAACAGTGATGGAATCATTGAAAAGAACAGTCTGGTTTCCAATAGTTTTAACATTTCACGGAACTAGAGCACTTGTGATGTAAACAAAGTACCTGTTTGTGAGTTCTGAGGAGATACATCAGGGGGTGATTTGGGAGGAGAATCTATGACCTGATCCTTCACAGCCTGCTTAAGCAATTCAACATTGCTTTTGAATTCATTTAATAATTCTTTGGCCCATCCACTTCTGGTTTTAGTGGCATCACTATAATGCATCCAATGGTCACAGCTGTCTCCTGCAAATTAGAGGAATGGGGAAAATATTAACTCATTTGCAAGTTTGCTTCTAACAGACTATCAAGTTTCTACTATTTCACAATTCTTCGTCAAAATATAAGCTCGCTGCATGCTGCAGTTATAGAACAGAGGTAATAACAGATAAGTTATATACTTCACAAAATCACTCCAAGTATAACATTGTCATGTGCCTTTTAACACCACTAATGCTCAAAACATCACTGAGTATTTCCAGTTCAGATAATCTGATGACACATTAATGTCATATGTGAGACCATGCAAAAAAATGTTTAACTGAAAACAAAAAAAAAGTGAGAGCAAGTAACAGAACAATGTTCTCATGCTCACTTTTTCCAAGCTTATCTTTCCTGCCAGAACTGTGTCCTAAGAAGTTCCTGGTCCCTTTCCAGAAATGTATTCTTTTTGTCTTGGTTCTCTCTTTGGCACACAAACAAGAAGGTAAGTTCAAGCAGTGCTGCAGCACACACAGCCTTAAAAATCAAGCCAGTGGAAACTCTTTTATTCCTAATATGTTTCTGTTGGTCAAGCAATTAAACCTCTGATAGAAACTGAGATATCTTCAAAAACTCCCTGTAAAGACATTCTACTAACCTGAACAAGAATAAGGATGCAATAAAAGTAACTTGTATGAGCTGGTACATCACTCTTTAAATACCAGTATGTGAAAACTTACTTTATTTGGGACTTGATGACTTTTTACTTATACTGGGATAAGTAGATATGGTTGCTATTAAAATAGGAAAATGCTTTTACAAAATTGTGATTTTAAGTCTAAATGCAAAGATTTCACCATGGAAAAATCTTTTAGGGAGAGGCCTATCACAAGAGATGTCATTTTTCCCCACCCACCTGCCTCACAGGTATCTTTGGTGGTTATTCACATGTTTATAGCTAAGGAAGAAGAGAAAGGAACAAGAGAGAAATCAGAATGAGAACAAAAGGACAAGGATGTATTAAACTGAAGCCCATGAAGTTGGGATTCTCCAAAGCAGGGCTAAAGTGGGGTCACTCCAAACATATGCACACAAACTCTGAAGTACCTACAGGACTGGTACAGCAACACCATAGGGAAAGCTCTCATATCCCTTCTGGGAAGTCAGCTTGGGCAGCTGCCTCTCTGAAGTGCTTGTGCACTAACACATGCAGCACGAGGAACATGTGGGAATGGGAGGAATTACAAATCTGTATGCAATTGCATGGCTATGATCTCATTGGGATCACAGAGATGTGTCAGGACAGCACACACAACTGAAATGCTGCAAATAATGGACACAGGCTTTTGGGAAGCACAAGTCAAGAGGGCAAGGAGGGCAAGATGAGTGGAAACACATGGAGCTCTGCCTTGGGATGGATGATCAGCCAGCTGAGTGCTTACAGGTTGGGATTAGAGGACAGACCAACATGGATGACGATTTGGTAGATTTTTGCTCCAGACCACGGGATTAGGAAGATGCTGACACCCTTTTCAAACAACTGGAAGAAGTATCATGTTCAGAACTTTAGTCACCTCAGCATCTACTATAGGGCCAACACACCAAGACACAAGCAATCCATGTGATTTCTGAAAGCGTATTGAAGGCCACCTCCTAACACAGGTAATGAAGGAGCCAAGAGAGCATGTGCTCCAGTAAACCAAATTCTTACAAAAAGAGCAAGATCTGGTCAGGGATACGATGGGACAGGGCAGCCTTGGCTGCAGTTACCATGACATGGTGGAGTTCAGGATTCTGAGGTGAAGGAAGGAGACATGAAGCTGAATGACAGCCCAGAACTTCAGGAGAGCAGCCTCTGACCTGCTTGAAAGAATATGGGATATAAACCTGGACAGAAGCAGCATTCAGGAGAGCTGGTTGAAGAATCACCTCCAAGCCAAAGAATGGTCCACCCTGAAAAGCAGGATGTCTAGCAAATGTGCAAGGTGGCCTGTGTGGATGAACCAGGAGCTGTACAATATGTGGAAACAGCATCAGATTACTCCCCAAAAATATGGTGGACAGCATTAGGAATGCCAAAGCCTATCTGGAGTTGGATCTAATAAGAAGCATTACAGACAACAAAAAAGGGTTCTACAAGTGTATCACAAACAAAAGGAGGAGCAGTAAAAGCTTGGACATGCTGCTGAATGGGAGCATGTCCAAGCCTTCTTTGGCTCAGTCTTCACTGATAACACTTGCCTTCAAGATTCTCAGGTGTCCCTGAAAACTTTGGCAAAGTCTGGAGCAAGGAAACCTTCCCCTAAGCAGAGGAGCATTAACTTAGGAAACATTTGATCTGTTTATCAGACATGCACTAGTCCATGGAAAGAAGTGCTGAGAGAGGTCAAGTGCTGGCCAATGTCATGAGGAGGCCAGTCTGAATTATCTTTGAAAGGTTTATAATTGAATAGTGATCAGGAAAGGTTTGTGAGCACTGGAAGAAAGCAAGTGTCATTCCTGTCTTCAAGAAGGAGGATGAAAAGAACAGGCCAATCAGTCAGCCTCACCTCAAAGAAAGTAATGGAAGAAGGTAACAGAGGGCAACAGACCAAATAATCCTGGAAACTATTTCATAATGCATTAAGGATAAGAAGGTGACTGGGAATACACATGCAGGGATTTATGAAGGAGAAATCATGCCTGAAGAACTTTACAGCCCCTACTATGAGACAAGTGGCTCTATGGAGAGATGGGGTAGAGCAATGGATGTTGTTTTCCTCAACTTTCCACAGTGTCTGTAACATACTTTGTAACATATATCTTGCCTCTTCTAAATTTTTTAGATTTCAAAAACATATTTAGTAGAAATTATTTTTAAGAAATGCTTCTTTGAAAACTGCTAACATCTGTTTAATAACATTTCTTTAGCAAAAGGCTACACAATTGGACCTCTACACACTGGGATTCTCACTTAGCAAAATAAAAAGCAAAGCACTGCCTGGAAATGGACATAAAATTATAGACTTCGATATGTGAAAAAATCTAGCAGATTGACTCTTGCAAATATCCAATTAATGAACTGTCAATATGCCATATTGCATTCCTCTGTCAACACACAACTTTCATGTCAGAGCTGTGTACACACTGTTTTGTTGACCAAACAGAACAGAGAAAAGCATTTGGCCTAAAACAGCTCATTCACAGAAATTGGTTCCTAGATTGCTGTTTTTCTTGGTTATGTATATAGAAGGAAATAAAAAAGGTGTGCATTTCAAATGCTTTGAGTGTTATTATCCAAGCTGTATACAGACAAACATATAGCATTGTTTTAGCATTCACGCATGACAGGTTCACAGATAATTCACAAAATGCTCACTTTTCATACCTGCTTTGTGAAAGGGGTAATAGTCCACTGTTAAATAGCTGAAGGACAGCTGCATGGCCCCTCCTGTAACACGTCTGTTTGGATCTGTAAAATAAAGCAATGCTCAGCTCTGCAGACATTGCATTTAGCATGTTAGTACTCATGCTGCTGCAATCCTCTAAACACCTAACAGCTACTTCTTCCTCCCCTTTACTGGCTGTCCTTTAAACCTCATTATCTTCCCACAAAATTTTCATCCATTCTTCACTGGTTACTAAAGATCAGCTTGTAGAATTCTGTGCTCAGTCACTACTAACAACTTGTGTATTGTTTTAAATGCCACTATAAAGGCAACACTTTGAACACATATTCCTGCAGGTTTTCTGAAACAAAACCTTTTACACTGAAAATATATATGTTATTTGAAGTCCACATTTACTTTCAAAAATACTGTAAATATAATTCATTTTATTTGACAAATATTGCAGGGAAGAGGTCTTCTGCATCTTCTGTTCTGATTTTTTAGCTGTTGAATTTAAACTTCATGGCCAAAAATAATGGGCCAATAAAGAGATCTCACTAGGAATGATAAATTCCAACTGCAGTGGATACATCGCATGTATAGAAACACATCTGTAGCCAATGAGCCTTATGCTCTGCTGCTTTGCAAGTGTCTTCCCTAATCAAGGAAATACATTCAGTAAGACTTAAGTTTTTCATACTCTTCTTCAGTAGCCCTTGCATGTTTCCAGAAAATTTACAGTGACTAGCCACCAACCTGGATATACACCAATATGTCACTCTTTTCTGATGACTTTTAAAAGGCATGAAAGAAGAGTCACTTGTATTCTTTTTCTTCTAATGCTAAATGTGGCTACATGCAATAGCCTTTTGTTAAAAAATAAACAGTACAAGATTTATACACAAAATTTTAAGGTCACAGGACACTTGCTCCATTCTTTCCATGTGCTGCAGACCATAGCAAATTGTCTAAATTAGTAACACAAAGAGGACTACTCTTTTATTAGTCTGTATTTATATTACAGAAACAAATTGTATAGTGACCCTTTTAAGCCACAGTAATGTTGCCACTGCATTCTTCATAACCCAGTTAACTTCTAAAAGAAAAAGACCAGCAGGAACAATCAGACTGATAGAATCAGTTTCTAGAAGACAGAAGCAGTACAGAAGCTACTAGAACTCTTAGAAATTATTGTATTTATTCTAAAATAATTACATTTCATAACGAAATGTCCTGATAGAGCCATCTAGACAATTTTATATGTGTCTACAGACACTGGAGACAATTCTGACTATACATCTAAAATAAAGACTCTTGATTAATGCTATTGTATTCCTCAAAACATCTTCTAAAGATGTTTATTCACAGGCATGTTACTTTTTAAAACTTTACCTTTTTCTTTAGAATGGATATCATCACATATATGTAGGTCCAAATGGGAAATTACTAAGTGATGAGAAGTTTCCTTAACATCAAAATCGTTAAACAATTTGACTATTGCATCGTTTTGATCAGGTGCTGCTGTTGCCTGGTGCGCTTTCACCTGCTGAGAGCTGGGTGCAGGGGCAGAGCTCTGAAAAAAACATTCAGTCACATCAATTTAAGATGTTTATCATTTCTTTCAAGCACAAGTATCCTTTTACTGACACAAAACAGTCCTTTCAACTAAGTAAAAATCTGCATGACATGCATTCACTTTGGATTGTTACTGAGATTGAACTAAGATGTTTCAGAACAAAGCTAGGTTGAGCTAATGGCTATGTGTCTCAAAGAGGCAGTGCCAGTTCATTCCCCATTCTGCCCTTTCTCACCCTTCCTTATACCTCTGTCACCTGCAGCACTGGTATTCTAACTTTTCTTGCAAGCTGTTCAGGGAGTTAAACCAATAGAAAACTCAATTTTTTGTTGGGCTCCTTTCTGCGAATTTAGTTCCTCAAACTACAACACAACAGGATCAAATGGGAGTCAGTGCCAGTACCAGGGAATTGGTGAGCTGCAAGTGTTGGGAACTGAAGAATTAGGACTTCACTGCTCAGGAACAGCTAGTGATTACATTGTTGTAGCCAAACCATCAAATCACATTGTAAGACATCAGGACCACAAGAACTGAACTCTCCATTACAGTACACTAGCTTTACTGTAAGAAATTCTATACAACTGGCTGTAGTCTTAGTAATAAATCATGTTTTATTTTTATAGCACTATCTTTTATCAGTTTACTTGTCCTGCTTCTTCACAGACAAGTGCCTCCCGTCAACACTCACAAAGCCAAGTCAGTCTAGTCTGCTGTATGTGCTGAAGACCACCCAGACTTATATGCAGCATTAATAGCACAGGTAAGCAAGCAGAAATATGTTTAAACTAGAATTGGAAGCAGAATAAAATCCAACAAAAGAGCTGCATGAAGGTAAGTTCTTACTAAAAGCTAATTTTTTAGTACCATGACAACAAACTGGATGAGCACTTCAAATCATTACAGTAATCATATCTACTCACACATTAAGGTTACCTTAGTGTGTCTTAACTATTTAAATTCATAACCAGAAAGTATCTGGAGAACAAATTTAGTAAACATTTAATCAACTGCTGAGTAAATACAGAAGTCTAAATACGCTGTACATGGATAAAGAAATACAGGGGTTTTACTTCCTGCAATTAACATCAATACACAAAATATTATAAAATAAAGCCTATTTTATACTATTATGATTCATTCCCAGTATAATTTAAGATATACAGCTGAATGAAAATGAGTAACTGAAAATGATGGAAAATAAATTAACCCAACTAATCACACCGTGTTGTATTTTAGAACACCTGATAATGATACAGTGAGAGAAGCAACCACCATACCTGGGCTGTTTCAGAAGCCAAGCTTTTCCTCTGTTCTGTTGATTTCTCTATGGCTTCACTAAGAGATTTGGCATACTGCACCATAGCTTTCAATTGGGAATCAGTCAAAACCCATAACAAATCATCCAGAATCAGAACCAGTTTTGATGCCACTACATTACAATCTTTTAACTGTAGAATGAAAATTTAAAGAGGTCAAATGAGTCCATTAAATACTTCCATTTTTAATATGAAACTCACAGTAAAAAGGACACTGAATATAAAAAGCAAATTTATTGCATATAAATAACAAACATTTTCTTAATTCTAAATTGTATTCCTCTCGTTAGCAAAGAGGTACCTAAGACACAGTGTATTTATGCCTCGTTTTACGTGTTTGGCATGCACTGGATATTACACTGCTGCATTTCTCTTAATGTAAGTAATGCAAATACTACCTGAATCTAGAGAGGTAAAACAATAGGCATCATTATAAACAAAGATCGGTAGATCAAACAATTTCATTAACAGGACATATACAAGGTCTTAATTTTCAAATTCTGCCTGTGATGTTTCTTAGAAACTCTACAGTCTAACCCATTCTATGTTATTAAAAATTTAATTTGACATTTTATATGGCCTAGATTTTAAACCTTCACTGCCTGCATGTGTGCATTAAGAGCATAAGTTAAAAATTAATTCCTAAAAGATTTCAAATTTTTCAAATTTACCCTTCTTTTAAGCGTGACTCTGATTTTTGATTGGTTAGTAATCAGCCGAACTGGAGCACTAAGGATTTCATGCTTAGAACTCTGGATTGCATCTGCTTCTATCCTGATCATCTGCCAGGTGATTTCTTTGAAAGTCAAAACCTTTAAAGACAGAGAAAAAAAAGATAAAACATCTTCATGCAATATGACATTTTACTTGCACCTAAGCATGTGCCTGTGTATGTATATATCTGTACATAAACACACACAAACTCACATGAGCAGAACAAATACAAATCACTTGTTATTTCACTTACAGATGCCAAGAAGTAAAGCCCTGACCCTTCTCACTACCTCGAAAATGTCACTGAAACATTAAGATACTTCCAAGGAGGTGGAGGTAACAAGCAGCATTTAAAACAATCAGAAGAAAATAAAGGTCTCAACTATTGCATATTAGGTTGCTTCCGGAAGAGGGAAAAAAAAAAGATTGTGTAGTTTACTTTCAAAATCCCAAATCCTAGTATATAGGAAAAGGACAAGGAGGAAAGCAAAGCTACAGGATGGCAGAGGGGGTTTTTTTGAGTGTTTTATTTCAGTTAAAAGAGAAAGTTAAACATTACGCACACTGCATGCCATAAGGACCCCACAAGCTTTGAATCTACTATGTGCATTTCTAGAAGACACAGCAAGGAAATGTTAGAATAATGATACAAGAGCAGCAAGTACAGCTGAACACTGAAAAGAAAATATGGGAAAATAAGTGACTGTCCAGCAGCAACACCATGGAGAACATCAAGTGAACATGACATCAATAGGAAGAAACAGTAACTCTAGTTTCCCTGAAACTCCTACCTACACGGTTTAGACAAAGTGACCAAGTTTACCCTCAGTATGTTCGCAGATGACACCACAGTGGGCCAGAGTGTTACTCTGCTGCAGGGCAGGAATTCTCTGCAGCCTGAATTGATGAGCCAACGCCCATTGTATGAGGTTCAACAAGGCCAAGTGCCAAGTCCTGCCCTCGGGTTACAGCACCCCCATGCAGTGCTACAGGCTGGGGGATGTCCAGTTCTGGACCCCTCACTTTAGGAAAGACATCTTGGCGCTGGAGCAAGTTCAGGGAAGGGCAGCAAAGCTGGTGAAAGGTCCAGAGAACAAATCCTATGAGGAGCAGGTAAAGGAACTGAGATTGTTTAGCCTGGAAAAAAGGAAGCTCAGGGAGAACGTTATCACACTCTACAACCACCTGTAAGGAGGCTGCAGCAAGGTGGAGGTCAGCCTCTTCTCCCAAGTAACTAGTGACAGCACAAGAGGAAATGCCCTCAAGTTGTGCCAGGGGAGGTCCAGGTTGGACACGAGAAAGAATTTTTTCACTGGAAGGGTGGTTAAGCCTTGGAACAGGCTCCTCCGGGAAGTAGTGGAGTCACTGTCCCTGGCACTTGGTGCTATGGTTTAGTTGGCATGGTGGAGTTGGGTCCCAGGTTAGACCCAATAATCCTGGAGGCTTTTTCCAACCTTAACAATTCTATAATTACTCTCTGAAGAACAAAAGACCAGCCATGAGTAAAGCACAAGAGAGAATGTGTCTGATTTTTCATCTGTCATTCTTCTCTTGTCAATCTGAAAACCTTAGAGCATATGTCCTGGGAACAGAAGCAGAGACTTAGGTAAAATATACCCAGTGTGTCTGCGAAGGAGGCACACACAACGGGGCGAGCAAGACAGAAAGGCATAGCACAAAGTATCCTGAAACACTACCTGCAGAAAACCTACCCTCTTCATACAGGAGATGCAGCATGATTGGAAGCTTGCAAAAAAATTCTAAGGAGAGTCCTTACTACATTAAGAGTGGAGCTCCAGTGCAAAGCTAAAAGCTTACACTCTTAAAATGTGGTTCATAGTACAGCGCTGTTTTTCATTTTTCACCTTTCCATGCAATTTATTGCTAATAAATCATTCACTGTCATTTCTAGAAATTTGTGTTTCCAGTATTCATTGCACTAAAAGAAACACTCCCCAAGGAAAGCTCTGTTCAGCATCAAATCCTTCCTAAAAAGCACAAAATCAAAAAAAAAAATGCCAACACAAAATTCCATCTAGTCAAACTTTAATTCTTCCCCTTTAGATTTCATTAACACATGATAATTAGCATACAGATAAGCTACTGGAAAGGCAAACTGTCAGGAAAACAGTTTTCAACTACTTCTTTCTGTGGTATTT